GAACAAACTCATTCTTTATGTCCTTAATTAGATCACAACTCCCCTGATTTTTGAGTGGCAGCACCCAAACTGACCACGGGCACCTTGCCATGGGCAGCTGGGCTGGGGCTCCATGATTTGCTTGGATCATGCTCAGGAAAACATGGAAAAAGCACCCACCAGAGGGGCAGAGTGTGCTAAAGCAGAAAGCACAGCAGAGGATGCAGCAGCAGGAGGAATCCTGGGGCTGTTGTGATTTCTGTGAGCTCCTGGGGAGGGATGTGGGAGTGCTCTGCTGTGCTGTGAGCAAATCTGGCAGCCAGGAACGCATTTGCAGGATTGTGTTGCAATTAATGTGATTTAATGGCAGTGCCTCCTTATTGTTCTTGTCCCACTCTCTCCCTGCAAGGCTTTATCCCAGTAAAACTTTCTCTTCAGGAATCACAGAATTATGGGATGGTTTGGGTTGGGAGGGACTTAAAAAACCATCTCATTCCATGGGCAGGGACACCTTTCTCCTTTCTCTTCACCCTTTATTGTCCCAGGTTATTCCAAGCCCAACCTGGCTTTAGACACCCAGGGATTCCCTGAGTGGGAATGATCACTTCCATTAATTCCATTTATTTATGGCAGGATTGAAAGAACTGTTATTCAGTCCCACATGCAGCAAATTATCATTTTGCTTGTAAACTCTCTGCATCAGCAGAAGCATTTGATGCTGCTGAAGGCTGCATTAATCACCAAAAGACAAGAATCCATCTCCCACTGGGATTTCTCCCTGTGCCTGGGCAGGGAATGCACACACAGCTCTCTGGAAGGAGATTTCCCACTCAGAGCTCCTGGTGATTCTCCATGGTTTGGTTGAAACCCCAGAGGATGGAGGGAATTGAGGAGAACATGGGTGTCAGTGAGGGTGGAGCTGCCCAGGTGCAGGTGCAGGTGACAGGCCAGGTGTGAGGGACACTTCTGTCACCACAGACACATGGCCAGGGCAGGAGGGACTCAGGACACTGCTCTGGGGGGTTAATGCTGAAAAGGAGATGGAAAATCAGCCCTGCAGTGAGCCTGGAGGGAATTCCAGCTGCAGTGCAGGGCACAGTGATTCAGGCTCCTTATCTTCCCTCTGACAATCCCCTGAGAAGGGGCCCTGGGAGGTGTTGGGAGAGGATTCCAGGGAAAAACAGAACTCTGGGGTCTCTGGAGAGCCTGGCTGTGTGAGAGCCCTGCGGGGCTGGAGCAATGTGGGATTTACAGCATTTAAATGAGAAGGGAGAGCCAGTTTGGATTCAAGAAATACCCCTCAAAAAACCAGGCAGAAGGGACATTTTCCAGGCACAAAAACCCCACCTCAGAGTCTTTCTGCTCCAGCAGAAAAGCCAGGCAGTAAATACGGGGAAAAGCCATGNGCAGGAGCTGGTTGATGTCACCTCTCTCTCCCCCAGGGGATCAGCTGCAGGAGCTGGTTGCCTTCCACCGCCTGGCCACAGCCTATGACCTGCTGCACATGCACGAGATGGCCGAGGATTGCTACCTGAAGACCCTGGCCATGCGTCCCCCCGTGCTGCAGAGCTCAGCAGAGGCCCTGTACTACTGCAAGGTCTACTGGCACCTGGGCAACCTGGCCCTGCACAAGCTGAAGGTAAGAGAGGAGCCCTCCCGTGCTGCTGTGCCTTGCATGGAGGGCTGAGGGTGGGGGTCACATCTGGTTTTCAAAGGAGGAAGGGAATTTGGAAAGAAGTGCTGGCACTTAGCACCATTCCATGAAATCAGGTGTTCCTGGGTCCTGCTGGATCCCCAGGCTCTGCTCCAGCTCCAGTGAAGTGTTGTTATAGAGCACGACACAGCACAAAGTAGCACAACTCCATCAGAAGGGTGCAAGAGAGATTTATTACAGCCACATGTTGCTTTTATACTTTTTCAAGATATTTACATTCATCCAACATACACATTCACTGCCCATTGGTTATGGGAAAGAAACAAAGTTCTCA